GTAGCAGGGAGGGATATATAGGAGGGTAGAGGGAGGAGAAGGTAGGGCTTCCTGCAATGATGCCAACCAAGTGACCGAATCGGTGCTGAATTGCTGCTAGATCTGACCAGAAGAGTATTGACTCTAGCGGACGCCGAATGTTTGCGGAGGTAGGTGCTGCATAGGTCTCGCCTCTGCCCTTGACGAAAAATGGGCAACAGAGGCGTAGTGTTGCGAGGATGGCGTTTCCGCTTGGAAATCGTGATATTGGGACGACAATTTTTAACCCTTCTCTTGAAATGATAATGAGTAAAATATGACTCCCTCTAAATTACGCACGGGAAGGTGTCATTTAATATTGAGCCGTCGAGTTTTTTTCACGGAAAAGACGCGATTACAAGGCGTTTGGGATCGCTTCACATAGTGAACTGTCTCAGTAAGCTACCGTTTTTGTATTTAGTTTTCTTAAATAAGTCTGTGCTCGGATTGCTTGCTGAGTAAGTCCAGGTCCAAAAGGCTATGACTGCCATTATCTGTCGAGTACGTCAAATTTCCTTTTCTGATTATATTTATCAGGTTACTGTTCTCTGATTTCTCTTAGTTTCTTATTTAGGTCACTTTGCGTGGAGTGTCTAGTAACGTAATAACAATGTTGACTAATTAGCAGGGTAACGCCTCGCGCCTTCTTGGCAAGCCCAGCGTTTAATGGCACTACGAATATTATGGAAGGAAAGTATATGTTCGAGTAGGATGTGATTATCTTAACAATGATTCTGTCGGAACCTACTGGTGTGTTTATTAATAGTTATGTAATGTTGTGATCCTGATTGGAAGCCCTATCGCGTCATATCCATAATTGTGTGAAATGTTTATTCTGTAATTAATGTCAAAGAAAGAAGTATAACAATACGAAAACGTGGTTGGAGCCGGAAGAGTTGAATCTTCTATTACTTCGATTTTATTATTTTGGTTAAATCGCAGAGGAAAAGGAGAGAACGTACACAGGAAAACGAAATTGAAAATATAAATCCTCTTAAAACCACAAATCTACTTACCTAAGCCTAAACATTTCTCATGTGAACCTTACCTGCCTAAACGTATCTCACGTGAACGTTCTAGGGTTGTTTTCATTACAGCTATCTAGCGGCTGGGTGCTCAACTGCGAACAGCTGTGATTTTATTTCGCTGCACGTGCTACCGAGTCTTCTGGGTGGGAGCAACCTTCACATCACTGTTCGAATAGAAAGAGCCTGTGGCCCATGTGAAGCGATGCAAGTCAACGAATGTGGTCGAGCGTTAACTTCCACCAAGAGACTAGCAGTCACAACAAGTACTGCCTTTCCTATTTCATTTATGTATATTATTTCATTTATGTATATTGATCACCTTGCAAGCAAGTCACGGTCGAGGCTTCGCAAATGAGATGTTCACCTTCTGAATCTCGTAATAAAGAACGGTCGGATATTCACTCGATTCTCTTCTCGATTAGTCGACTCATATCTTTTATTTATTACTGAAAGTCAAAAAAGTAAACGATAACTGAAGTCAGATGGAGTGTTGTCTAGGCTATCAGGGACGATCCGCGTCACTGTCATGGTGGCTAACGTTTCGGCCAGCGTATTGCGGCCTTCTTCAGAGCGTACTGCTGAAGCGTGCTTCAGAGCGTACTGCGTCAGCAGAAGGCCACAATGTGCTGGCCGAAACGTTAGCCACCATGACAGTGACGCGGATCGTCCCGGATAGCCTAGACAACACATACTCCGGCCGCTAAAGCCTACGCAACCATAGATATGGAGTATCCGTAAGCGAAGTACGTGATATTCTCAGAATTACCTGAGTAAATTAAGGGAAACTATGGAAACTCGACCGAGGCGAGGGTCTAAGATCCAACCTTACCTCTTTATCTCGTGACAATAGGTATGAGACTAGGCTCGTAAATCTCAATTTACCCGCGGCTGCCTAGCTTTAAAGGCCCCATACACCTTCAACACTGCAGATTTGGCTCGTGTGGAACAACCTTTATGAGCGGCGAACAGATTTACAAGCGGCCCGAACCGAGATCGCAAAGCCCGCTTGAAGGTGTATGGAAGTCTTAAGAGGGAGTCAATGGTCGCCCCGTGGTCCCACTACTGCATCGTGTCGTTGCAACCCTTCAGCCCGGAAGCGAAGCGTCGGCATCGGGGCCATTGTGCCGTGCGAAGGAGCCTGGGAATGACACCGTGTGCGCCGCCGCTGCCGAACGCTCAATCAGTCCCACGAGGCGCTGGCCCCGCCCGCCCCACCACAATACGGCCGCCCCGGCGGCGCGCGCCGGAGCCGATTCCGGCGATAACCTCCGCTCTCAGAACCCGCCGCCCGCCGCCGTCGCGTCTATCTGCGCCCAACAAAACCCGAACGAATTCCCGCACATATGTGGGGCGCGCAGGGTCCCCCGCGTGCGACCAATGACAGCCCCGGGGGGGCCCGCCGCGGGGGGACGGGCGGCGGGCCCCGCAGAGGCGCCCCGCCCTCGCTCTTTCTGCGACAAGTGCCGCCTGCACGCCCGCGCGCCGGCTCTCCCAAGGCTTAACCGCCACCGCGGGGGGGGCGTGTGTGGAGGCATGTGAATTGCGAGAGGTGATAAGTATCGTGAAAAGGGTGGCGGTTGTTGCCGACGGAGGTGATAGTAGTATCGGTTGGGGCGTTACACCGCTTGGAAGGCGGAGGTCAAGGTGGCAGTTGTTCTACAGTGTGGCGGCGCGATGGAGGCATGGAGTTGGCCGATGAGAGATACGCGCGGTTATGGCTTGGAGCGCTGGTGAAGTGTGGATGCGGGCATGACATTTACCTCTGTACTCGCAAAGGCAACGAGCCTTAAGAGTCTGCTCCACCCCTTGTGTAAGATTTCGCGCGGATCTATTGCGCACAAATAAAACAGCGTAGATGCTGTTGCGATAGTTTTTAAAACGTATGCTTGTAGTTTACGGGAGGTTTTTGTTGTAGTGTGTGGGTGGCTACGGCGCATGGAGCGGTGAGGCTGGCAATGGAGGTGGAGGGGGGTGACGGCTTTGGGGCATTGCGTGAGCGTGTTGTAGTGGTACTGGTGGCGATAGGGGTGACAGCAGTAGTAGTAGATATAGTGACGCGACAAATGATAATTGTGTTGATGATGACTGGCGGAAGTGGGGATGGTGGGCGATGGCTGGACGATGATTGAGCGGTGATGGGGATGGTGCTGGTGGCGGCGAGGCAGCAGGGGTGGTGGTAGTGGCTATGGTGACGGGGGGAGAGAAGAGCCGGTGGCGTGGGTGACGGTGATGCTGCCTGCGCCAACGGCAGCGGCAGTGGTGGCGGCGCGGAGGCTCGTTCATTCAAGGGTTCAGGTCAAGCCGCTCTGGCCTAGCAGCCTGCCCCCGGCGCACTTCACTAGTCCTCGCTTCGATCGCGGGGCGGAAGTGGTTTCAATGTCAATGCACTGAGCGCAAGTGTGTCCTCGGGGACTGAAGGCAGCTCCATCTGCAGAGGTTTGTTGCCTTAACGGCTTCTGCCCAGACTTCCTGTAAATGCTTCATGGATACCCTACTTCGGCGACCTAAATAGCGCAGGCAGCTGCGATGGCAATCTCTGTGCTCTACAGTTGGGGATAGAAATATTACGTAAGGCATAGGTGTTTTCATTTCCTATTTGTGATATTTTGGATTATTAATTGCCACCAGTGAGACTCATGTCAGTGGCATTAGTGGCACAGTGAAATCTTCGCTCCATGGAGTTGACCTCACCTCCACAAGAGATCAGTTGTGGAACTGATCTCTGGTTATGGATTTACTCGTTGGATACTATTAGCGGGGTTTAAAGAAAATTATTAAGGTTAACTTGTTATTGTCATGTTTATTAACATTTTTGAATTGATTTTGTACTCATCATTTTGCCTGGGTTAAAATAATTAAAATCTTTGAGCAACACGGTGCTGAAGGTGTCATTGCAGTACCATTCCTACATGGAATTCGAGAGAGCATACATAGAGAGCGTTCTGATTCTTTCCTATCACGACACGTTTCAAGACGTACGCGTGGCATGCCACGGTGCGGCGAGTCTTGATACTGACCCCTGCAGACGTCCTTGCCATCACTGTTTTAGGCAAAGGGGAATTATCACTTATTTCCTGTTTCTGAGGTGTCCACGTTTCTTCAGAAAAGACGAATATAAGTTCTCTGAGCATTTTCTCGAAGACCTCCTCAATTAAATAACACTAGGAGGCAGACTACTTCTAAGGATTTCTAAGCTGCGAAATACGTCTGACCGAATCACTTTCTGCAAGCGCTAGGAAGAAGATGCTCCTAATCTCAAATACGTAAAATATCTTATAAAAATGAACATATAAATATGAAATTCGTTTCTTGCGAATAATTGCAAGTGAAACTGCAATGTTGCATTTCATTAATTTTGAACCCTGCGTATACGTGTAAAAATGTATATATAGAGCAGGTATAGTAGTACGTATATATAAAGGTACCTACATCTAGAGCTTCGTAAAATAGATGAGTTACACATCTACGCAACGACGCATACAGCTACGCAAGAAAACAAAGGTTTCCTGCTGAACCAGATACTTGGAGAAACAAATGTCGTCGGTACACATATCAAAAAATCTGCTTTTTGCAGAACCGTTATACAGAGCAGACAAACAGAATGGTTAAACAGAGCAGATCATTTCGCGGGAAAGGACCATATTTTATTCTAAATATCGGCTGTCTTGTGAACTATCTTAATGACGTTTTTTGGTAGTTTCAATAGACTTTTTTCTAAATATATTTGTTTAGTAAAGTTCAATAAAGATAGTTTTAAACTATGTCATTTTTCTTGTGTACCGACGACATGTGAACCTCTTACGTAAAAGGAACTTTGATAAAGATGGATATCTTTAAGCGTTGCACTCCTTTTATTCCATTCGCTGACTGGTAAGAGACACAAATGCCGGAAGTAGAGATCTTCACGATGAGCTACCAACTCACAGAGAGGAAATAGACACAAATGCCTGCAATTCAGACCACTATAGCACTTCTTGATAGACGTGCTACTACTAACATGAGCGGGCGAGGGCCTACCTTTCTTGGCGGCGAGGTCGTGGTCGGCGTCGGGCAGCACGGTGCAGCCGGGCAGCGGGTGGCCGGGGCTCATGCTGGGCTGCAGCGACGGGAAGGGCGAGCCGCCGCCGGAGGGGTACCTGCGCCACACACACGCCACGCTCACGTTCACGCTCACGTTCACGCTCGCGCTCAAGCTCGCGCTCACGTTCACGCTCGCGCTCACGTTCACGCTCACGTTCACGCTCGCGCTCAATCTCGCGCTCACGTTCACGCTCACGCTCACGTTCACGCTCGCGCTCACGTTCACGCTCACGTTCACGCTCACGTTCACGCTCACGTTCACGCTCACGTTCACGCTCACGTTCACGCTCACGCTCACGTTCACGCTCACGTTCACGCTCACGCTCAATCTCGCGCTCACGTTCACGCTCACGTTCGCGCTCACGCTCACGTTCACGCTCGCACTCAAGTTCGCGCTCACGCTCACGCTCGCGCTCCCGACCACGCGGGCGCGGGCTCTCGCCTGTGATGGCAGCTCGCGCCGGGCAACGATGTGTGGTCAGGGTACAAGTGAACTGTTAGGCGAATCTCTACTGAGCTTATTAGCGGTTCATACGGAATGAATCGATAATGTAACTACTGAGCTGCCCGATAGACGCTGCGTCGTAGACACAGGCGCTAGCTTGCCTAGGCTCCTGTGCCTAAGACACGGCGTCTCGCTGACAGACTACAAGTTACCGACTCCGGCCGGAGAAGCCTATGATCTCATTTGAATGAATTGATGATTTGCTCATAGATAATGTCTTAAGTATTCGAAACATTTCTCATTTATAGCACTCATGATGTGATTTTTTTATTTAGATTCAACTTTAAGTTCCAGCGATCGTATTTATTACTCTGATATTTCTATTGTAGTAAGTCGATAAATAGAAAAAGTTTTGCGTCGGCATATTGAAAAGTATTTTTTAAAAACCAATTTTAATGTATAGATATTAAGTAAGGTCAATTTCAAGTATAAAATCATATTAGAATTATATCTAAGAGCATTCTTTCTTTGATTTCACATTGGTGTTTTCACCCAAACTAGAGTTTCAATTTGTTCAGTTTTGTGAGAGTTAGTTTGGTAAGGCGAAGGAAGGAAAAGGAAAAGAATAAGAGCGAAACTTAGGACAATCTATGAATGTATCTGAATGATTAGTTAAAGTATTGGACAAGGACGTCTTGAAGAAAACTAGAGGGGAAGGAACTGTAAAAAAGTGTAATGAAGAGAAAATCATCCAGACCTGGATATTATCTAAGGAACTATTTGTACAGAAAATGATATAGAAGGATAGATGGAAGGAATGAGAGGTCAATTAAAAAGTAATATCGTGATGGTAGGCATTACTAATAAATAAAGAGAAATAAGTCAGACAAGGAGGGGATGGAGATCAATGTACCTCAGGACAGTTTTAATGATAAGCCACAAAAGAATAGGAAGAAGGAGGCGTGTAAGACGAAAAAAGAGAAAAGAGAAGATGAAGAAAAAGAGGAAGAAAATGAGGAGAAGAAAAACAAGAGGAAAAGGATAATAAGAGGGAAAAACACACACGTGTCAGGTGAGATAATTAATGAGGGTTTTGGTTGGTTGTAACTTTTGTAAATTAGATAAATCTGAGGGGAAGAGATGAAGTGATTTGCCAAAACAAAAGCGGCGATATAAAAAAATGGTTATATTTTTCTTCGCGCCGGGCAATGCTTGGGCTGGAGGCAACGTTCTCGTAGGCACCAGTTGGCAGTATGGCAGAAGGGGAGGAGATGGGATGAGAGAAGAGAAGAGGAGACAAGAGGAGAGGCGAGAAGATGTGTTTGAAGGAGAAAAAAGGAGAGGCGAGGAGAAGTGAGAGAAGGAGAGAAAAAGAGAAATGCGGCGAGAGGGGAGGTGAGAAGAGAAGAGGAGACGGGAGGAGGGGTGAGACGAGACGGAAGGAGAGAAGAGAAGACAAGACAAGAGGAGAGGCGAGAAGAGGAGGGGCGAAGGAAAAAAGAAGAGAGGAGAGGGAAGGAGAAAAAAGAAGAGATGAGACAAGAGGCGAGAAGAAAGGAGAGAGAGAGAATCGTAGTTGAAGTTGAGCTGGGACGAGCGCCAGCGGCGGCGGCTGACTGACTGACTGACCAGGGGTTGGGGCGCGGCCAGCCCGCCTGGCCGTTGAGGATGCGCAGCTTGTCGTAGACGGACTCAGCCGGCGACGGCGCGGCGGCCGGCGGCGCCTGCTGTTGCTCCTTCTGCGCAGCCAGATTGCGCAGCACGCGGTTGATGGAAGACACCTGCGCACCAACACGCCCTGCTCAGGACACTTGAGACTTTGTTTTTTAATTTTTTTAAATGCACCCTAGCTCCGCCTAAGGGCTTTCACAGTGGAAACTCCAATTAAACGATGTAAGCGGGGATCAGACCGATTCGAAAAGGCCCAAATTCCGATGATTAGAGAAGCACAGAAAAACTTAAATTAATGAAAGTGAGTTTTATCAAACATAAGACAAAAAAATGTAAAACGGTAAGATTTACATAAGAAATCACAAATTAAATAATGATGAAAAAAGATTTTTATATACATATCAAACATTTTTAGTATGACTTAAACATACATTGACAATATAAAATGTAAATGTTCAGATATTTAGTACCTATTTTAGATGAAAGGTATCGAAAAAGACTACTTTTTTGAAGAAATTACTTGTTTTCATGCGGCAAGTTCCCGCACACATTTAAAATGAGTGTTTTCCTCAACTCTGACAGGTAGGGTTTTTAGTTTTTATAAGAGCACTTTCTAGGATAGTTCGTTTCCTTAAAAAGGTCAAATTGTAAACAAATACAGCAGTTTTCAGTTACGTTTATATGTAATACAGTGCCAACCAGAAAACCGACGCAAACGATGTCTATTTTCCATATTTCAATCTTCAGAAAAAGTGAACGCCGTTAAGCATTCGAATCGTAGAGGTGAATTAACACGGATATGCTTAGTTATAATATTATATAATTTAGTTATCTCTGTATCTGCACTCTAGAAAACTGAAAATTTATTTCGCACAATTTTTTGTTGTTAAGGCGGCTGAAATGAAGCTTTCCATATTTTGTCAAAATATCGTTTTTGTTTATTTTAGCACCACTCTTACCAAAATGTGTTGGGAAAGGTACCCAGAAATTACCCGCACGGAGTTACAAAAATTTGCCCACGGCCTGACGGCTCTTTGAGTTATGAAGTTTTTTTTCGTAGTATTAACTCTAGAGTTCGAGTAAGTCGAATTAGAGACACCAAGGCATTGATGCTACTTAGGAATTGGAGTTGTTGAGTAATTTGAGATATTTAGGGTCGATTTGAAGAGGTTCGAATCATCCAATTTTGATTTACGGATACTCGAGTTATCAATCTCAAAAAAGCTTTGAGATACCCAGGTTAAATTGACCGAAATTGACCTGTGATAGACTCCTCGTACATTACTGGCTCACTAAATCCAGAAACTTATTCCATACCTTTCATCTTGTGATGTAAAATTTTAACAAATATGCAAGACACAGTCTATTAAAATTATCAACGGATTTATTTTTCCATCCCCTCTCTCAATATGCTATGAATTGTAAACGGGACCCCGCCCACTGGCACAAAACGTTCCCCCGTCGCTAGTCCCATCGAGTCCTTTTTTTACGGCGAGTCTGCGTTCGGGGGTTCGGTATCCGCGTGTCGATGGCGGTCGAACGCCCGGGCGACGCGCTGTCACGTGGCCCACAAAGGCGGCGCGCCGACGGCGACGTCAAGGGCGGTTGTCACGTGGAAAGGCAGAATGGCGATGGGATTTAAGTTCCGTATCATAGATTTTCTTTTCTAGTATTGAACGTACGTAGAGAAGAATTAACAGACTACAGGATAGACCAGTGAATGGGTAAAATACGAAAAAACGTAGACAAATTCATGGTGTCAAAGTGGACCAGATTTAAAGAAAATAGATTTATCGGAAAAAGCGACATATCGAGGAATTACAATTATAGAGGAATTTTAATTGTTGAGGAATTTGAATTGTCGGAGAATTTGAATCGACGAGAAATTTGAATCGACGAGAAATTTGAATCGACGAGGAATTGGAATTGTTGAGGAAATTGAATTATTGAGGAATTGGAATTGTCGAGTAATTAGAATTGTCGAGGAATTCGAATTATCGAGAAATTTGGTATCTAAATATTAGAGATATCGAGGAATTAGATCAGCCGAAGTTTCTTTTTTTAATATTGCTTTTACTGTAATTGGCCTTCGAAAACAGGAATTTTAATTCGTTTATTTTTCGTGTGCAAGACTACAGCGATCATGCCAGGCATTCAAATATCGTATTTCATAAGCATAACGATATTCTTGCTCCCCTTTCCCCCACTCCAACGCCGCGCATTGTGCAAGGAATCGCTGCCGTCGAGTACTTCCGTGGCGAGTACTTTGGCTCTCGGCGTGTCGATGGTCGTCGCGCGCGCGGGCGACGTGCCGTCACGTGGCCCACAAAGGCCGAGCCCCTCCGAGCGCCACCGGGCCCGGCCGGCTGTCATATGGAAGGGCGCGCCTGAATGAGGGTGGGCCGCTCCCCCACTCACCCCCGCTCCGCCCGCCCCCCGCGCCGAGGGCTTTGTCTTAGCGCCGCCGCCCGCGTCCTCGTCCTCGTCCTCGCCCTCGCGGCGATTGTTCCGTGGAAGAAAGACGCTGCGCGGAGGGCCGTGGCGGTGCGGGGCGGTGCCGGCGACAGGCGTCGATGCCGCGCTGGCTTCGATCGCGAAGGTGCCTCCTGCCCTTTTCCTTCGCCGTCGCGCCCTTTTGACCGCGCGTGCCCTCCGGGGGGTCTCGTGGCGGAGGCATTCACCGGAGAGGCCTCCGTTCTCGGTCCTCAGTCCTCAGTGCTTCGTCCTCCGCGGCGGGCGGCTCGCCTCTATGTGCCCCTCCCGGCCTCCTACGGGGAAAGGCGAAACGTTAATTACCCTTGCACTCGCCTGATGGGATTCGGCAAGTCGCGGACGGGGACGGCTGAGATGAGAGCGTATTGTAGTTAGTTGCACGGTTTCCTGTGATGAACTGTTTGAAATGGGATCTGCCCTTTTGTTCCAGCGTTGACTCCGACGGAGAGGCGATGCTTTCGTTTCTGCCAGGCTCGTATGGGGGCAGCAGCCTCTATTGTGCTGCTAGGGCACGGGAGACCTTGAATTGATTTCTTTGACTAGCTCATCTATACTTTATATCGTTAAGAGCCTTCGTGAGCTCTGTTATTTCGATACTTGGAAATAAAGTCCACATTTGTAAAACTAGTTGAAGTTTTCATTAAGCTACTTCGAACTGACACTTTTTCTCTATTTGTAAATCCTTGGAAAGATACTTTTTTCCTGCCTTTTTTCTAATTCACAATGGAAACAATATTAATGTTCGGTATTTTTGTTTTTGAGACTGTAATTCTATACAATGTGTATAGTACTTTGAACAGTGCAAAATATTAATGAATCTATACATTTTCACACGGTGACTAGAACAACAGATGTACCGGACTATTTCCTGTACCTTAGCCTTTTACAACAGTATTCCATAACGCTGCCATTAACAGATTACCGTGACCGTCCAGAATTTTTGGAAAACTGCACCTCAGCTCACTGAACCCAAAAATAAATCCGACTGAGTCCATCTAATTACGTAATTTCCAATTCCTAATATCACCGAATCCCTTTGCTAAAGGCATATAATACCAGTACTACCAAATACCATACGAATTAAAACTGAAAATAATAAAGCAACGCAATTAAGGCGCTCGCTGTCGCCGGAGGGCGCGGCGCGGCGCGGG